AGAAAGCTATTAGGAGAAGGGGCAGTGTCAGGTTCTCAGGCGATGTGGAGTGTATGTGTACGGTCGCTGCTGCTGGAAGCGATCTTCCGTTCTCCACCTAAATTATTCATCACTCCGCCGTGAGCCGCCTCCACCCCCACTGGCTGAGGGCTGCGCACTTGCCCTTCATGGGGAATCCTTTCTCTGGTTTGCAGAACCTCCTTCCAGCTGTTTGCATGGGTGTCTGTCTTTTGGTCTCCCAGAGAAACCCATTTGGGGAAGCTGAGCAGGATTGCAGAGCCTTTCGGAGCCTAGAAGCAACCTCAGAGATCTTGGCCCTATAGTCATTCCAGGGAGTAGATATGGGGTCTGAACCTTCACCTTTAAGCATCTGCTCCCTCTCCAGTCTTTTTTTTGCTACCACAAGAGGAGCAAATCCAGCATCATTTCAACCCCTAGAATTGATCATTCTTCCCTTTCCATCCAGGTCTTTTACATAAAGTACATTGGAGGGCTCGGTGATTGATCTGTTGTTCTGTCGTGACCCCCAGAAAGTGTCCTCTTTCCACTCTGGGTAAAAGAACAAGGCCTGGCTGCCCCCTGCTTTTGTCCCCCAGCCCTCACTCATTTTCCCGAGCTGCCCCTGTTCCGTTCTTCCAGGGCCTCCCGAGGAGGACAGCTTTCTTGTGCCACCCTGACACAGGGCCCAGCACTTCCCCTCTGCCTTCTCTGTCCTCCTGGGCCCACTGTGGTTCTAACCACCCACCACCTCTCCACTTACGGATGAGATCAGAAGACTTGAGGAGCTTGGAGTGTAATGACATGTCCGTGCGGTAGGATGGCATGATGCTTAGCACTGGGGACTTAGGAACTGGACCCGCTTTTCGGTTCCGGCGCTGCCACTCACTGTCTGTGTGGCCTTAGACCTAAGGCCCTGAACCTCTTTAACCTTCAGTTTCCTCCTTGTGAAATGGGGCTATTATTAGTAAGTGCAATTATGGGAGGAAAGTCCCCAGAGAGCCCGAGGTGTAGGAAGGGAGAGAATGGTGAGTTCGGGGGGCAGCGGGTCTGTGGTGGGGATGTGAACAGGAAAGGTTTCCCAGAGAGCACTGCATTCTGTAGCAAGAACTAAGCTCAGGGACACACTCTGCCCAAGGAGGATCGCCTCAGGTCCATATGATGTGTCCCATCAGCTTTTCACGAAGAGGCTGAGCCAGGAGCTGGTGCATGCGTGCGTGCGTGTAAGAGGAGTTAACAGAAGGAGATGTTTACCCAGTTCACCCTCTTCTTTCTCTCCTTTTTCTTTTTGGCATGTGGAAAATTCTTGTTTGGATACCCCTATGGGGATAAAGAGTTTCTGCAAAAACCACTGTTTTCTGGTGATCTTACCTCCATTTTTATGTCATTTATAGACAGATTAAGTCAGTGTGACCCAGCAGGTCCTGAAGAGTCTCCACACCTGATCATTCCCCTGCTGGCCCCCTTCCCCAGACAACCCACCCTTAGAGCCTACGCTCTCACACCAAGGAAAGAAAGCTTCTGTAAGTTTTGCCTTCACTGACTTGAGCAATTCAGTTACTGTGCCGTATCAGGGAGATCACTGGTGTCGAACCATCCACACAGAAGACCTTACTACTATGTAAAATCTGGGGAGTTGGACCCCTAGCAAGTCCCACATGCCCTTGGGATGTCCAGGGGCTTTGCCATCAGAGCAGTCTATGAAGAAAGCTCACTTTGGCCCCAGGTTCCTAGCTGGGTTTTTTTTTTTTTTTTTTTTTTTTTGGTCCTCCCTCACACCATTTTCTTCCCCTGGTCTTTGGGCCCAAATCCCTCTTCCATTTATCACGTCTCCCGCAAATCCACTTTCCGTGCTGCTGCCAAGATCCTTCTCTGCATTCCCACAGCCATCTACCTGTGACCCAGCCAGCCTTCCCCGGGGAGTTTCTATAATTACTTTAGAGAACCATTGTTCCAGGAAGATAGGCAGAGCTTCCGAGATGAGGGGCTCTGGGAGAGGACAGAGCCAAGTCAGCCCTCCTGGGCAGAGGAAGAACGTCATTTCCTAGATATTTCTAAGCTCTTTTCTGCCTGGTCTCCATTTTTAACATAGACTCTTACCCCCATATCCATCTGTGAGTTCATGCAAATGGCAGTAGCCTTACTTTTCTGGAAGCCTTGAGTCCAGTAAATATGAAGGAGAAAGGGTCTGGGTATCCAGAGGGTAGAATGCAGACCCCATCCTTCTGTGGTTCTACCCTGCCTCAAGAGTTTCCCATAGGCTTCTACCCTGCCTCAAGAGCTTCCCACAGAAGGGCTTTCCTTCTCGAAAGCACTCACCAAATCCTTACACACTGGCATCTTAGAGCCACAGGACAAGCTTAAGTTTCTGCCTCTGGGTCTCTCTGCCCTTTCTACTTGGGCAGAGGCCCAGAAAGCATGCTTATCACATTTGAAATGAACAAGACTGTGTTCTGTTAGAACAGAAAATCAAGGTTCAGAATTTCTTAACAAGTATGGAGAGAGATGGGCTGCAACTTAGAACGTGAAATGTAATTTCCCAGTTGTGACAAATGCCAAGTCCTGTGTTTAAGTTCAAAAAATCAGTTACACAATTACAAGATGAAGGTGACCTAGCTTGATGGCAGTTCATTTGAAAATTACCCCAGGGTTTTTTTTGTTTTGTTTTTAGATTTTATTTATTTATTTGACCGAGAAAGAGCGAGAGCAGGAACACAAGCAAGGGGAGTGGGAGAGGGAGAAGCAGGCTTCCTGCTGAGCAGGGAGCCCGATGCAGGGCTCGATCCCAGGACGCCGGGATCATGACCCGAGCCGAAGGCAGACGCTTAACAACTGAGCCACCCAGGCGCCCCCCCCCCCAGGGGGTTTTGTTTACTACAAAGTGTACACTAACAACAGTGTGAAGTGACTGATAAAAATTGCATTAATACAGAGATAGTATAGATCGAAGGAAGCAATTATTCTGCTTTGCTTAAGCATCATCTAGGACATTGTGTTCAGCTCTGAGCTTTGCATGTTTAGAGAGTTCTTAATAGAGAGCATTCCTGGGAAAGGACTGGATGGTACAGTATATGGGATCTAGGTTCAAGGAGTAATGGAAGATGGAAAGAGAGGACAGAATAAACAGTAATACGAATGGTCGTTTCACAGAGGGAGGCAGGGAACAGACATTTTTTGTGGGCTTGCTATTGCTAAGCACTCTGCTAGTCACTCATAAATGAGTCTTTTCTCGTAATTCTCAAAGCAGTCCTTGGAGCTAAGAGGTATTTGGGTTCAGAGAACTGTATTTCCCAGGTAAATAAGAAAAAGGGATCAAATTCCAAATTGCTCCATACTACAAAACTTACACCAGCAGGAGGAAGTACAGGTAGGGGGTTTCAACTTGAAAGAGGACTTTTCTAAAGCAGAATGGACTCTTCTTAAAGTAGAACCCTCCCTGGTATGGAATATTTTGATAGAAGCTGGTCATCTGGGGCACCTGGGTGGCTCAGTCGTTAAGTGTCTGCCTTTGGCTCAGGTCATGATTCCAGAATCCTGGGATCGAGCCCCGCATCGGGCTCCCTGCTCCGCAGGAAGCCTGCTTCTCCTTCTCCCACTCCCCCTGCTTGTGTTCCCTCTCTTGCTGAGTCTCTCTCTGTCAAATAAATAAATAAAATCTTTTAATAAAAAAAATAAAAAACATCTGGTCATCTCCCAGAGGTGTGAGGAGGATATCCATCCGCATTGGGGAAGGAGACCATGATGACCTTTGGTTCGGATGGGGCGTTCTGGAATTCCCTCGGGCTTTGCGAGGGCAGCATTGGGCACAGGAGAGCTGCTTGGTGGGGGCGGGGCAAGGCGAGAACGGCCAGTGCCCCTTCTGCCCGGACTCACAGATGACAGGCCATTCATGCCAACCTTTGCCTAGTGCCCCTCTTTGCTAGTCTCCATACCCCAAACAAGCTCCCTTCCTGGCAGCCTGTCTGTCAGGGCTGGGTCTGGCCCTCCTCCCCTTTCTGACTCCACAGCTTGTCTTCCCACCCAGGAATGGGCATGTTGAGGAGGCTCCATCTGGCCTCCTATTCCCCGTCTGTGCAGCCTCCTTCGCGGCAGCGTCTAGCAAGGAGGGGATGGCCATCTTGGCCCCAGACAGAACTGTCTCCCAAGCTGGGGATGCTGACGAGGCCTGCGTGTGTATCTGCATGCTCACTCTGCAGCCTGATCGATGCCTGTCAGAGTTCGGCATTAGAGTGACAGCCGCATGCCAGGCTGTTTGCTGAACACAGCTCGTCCGTCAAGGGAAATCAGACGAAATCCATCTCCTTGTCCAAAGCCTGGCCCGATGGGCTGTGTCTAGAATGCCAGTCTTACATCTCACCCTATTTTGTGCCCTGAAAATCATTCCCCGTGGGATTCCAGTGTCACACTGATGGGCCTCCTGGGGCAGAAGAATCACGGTCAAGAAAATGATGCACAGATACCAATCCCAGCCCCTACCCTTTAGGAACTTGCAGTTTAGAGCTAATGGCTACTGTTATAGACACTCCAGGTCTCATACATATATGTCGTTATCTCGAATTGATTGGTATAAAATAGAGCATAAATAAAATGGATTTGATTTTTAAAATTTTGCAGATGTATTTTGAGTAGGGCATGACCAGATTGCATGGTGTGTTGTAGACAATTGGTAGAGAAGGGTCTCTTTAGAAGGTCTCATTAGAGCGGCAATTATGAGGTTTTAAGGCTTTCAAATTGACAAGGACAAATGTTAGCAAAGGTTCTGTGTTTGTAAACCATTTGGGGCTTCGAGAATCTCTGTCACCCTGTGTCTTGGCGGTAAGCCAGCGAGCTGCTTCTCTTTCCTCTCCCTAAAGCCTCTTTTATCCCGTACAAGCCCATACCTGAACCTTACCGAAGACCCTCTCTCTCAGCCACTCCAGCACTTCCATTGCCCAAGGCTGCTGGCTCTCAAGTGAAGAACTCTCCTGTTTCCCACCTCTGGCAGTGGCCGTGCCAGGTAATTCTCTCCCCTTAGCCTGCCCTCCTGTCAGGGGTCACAGGTGTCAAAGAAAAATGTCGCAGGACTTTGGAAGGTAATATTTTTTTCCCACTAGCTAGAAGACTGGAACAGAAAATTGTTCAAAAGATAGAAGTGGGATGTCTGGATGGTGAGGGAAAGATTTGGTCAGCCCAGGAGCAGGAGGGTGGAACATAGCAGCTGAGAAAAATGAGGGGTTTTTGCGGGGTGGGGGGTTGTAAAATCAGCAAGCAGAGGATGGGGATCCTGGATGAATGGGAGACTAGGGAGAAGCCAGAGTTGCAGGGTGGCCCCTTGCTGCTGCTGCTGCTGGTCCTCAGAGGGCCTTTCAAACACCACAAGGATTCTCTGACATTGCTCCCCCGGGGATCGGGGCCTGAGGGAATCAGCCCCCTGCTTGGGCCCCCTTGCCCCACGCTGCCCTGCTTGAGCAAGTGTCGCTGTCCCCCACCCCAGGCCCGTGGCACACAGCTCTATTACCCACGCACAGGAACTGCTCTGCAATAAAGTAAACCAAGGTAATGGGAATGACTGATGCAGAGGGCGACCCCCCAGAGAGCTGGGCCTGCTGCTGCCCCTCTTCCCTGCGCCAGTGATCGCCATTAAAACCGCCGTAAGTCATCTGCAGTCCCCTAGGCCTCCTTTCCAGGGCTGAGTGAGTGACCCCACGCGGTGGTCCGTCGGAGGAGCGAAAGCAGCTTGTTGTTCTGCACTCCATAGACCCCCGGCCTCGGGGCCTTCTCCACAGCCCTCGCAGGGCAGTACAATGGGGACTTCCACTGAAGGCAAACCAGGCTAGGCAGGAAAGAGTTCTGCCCTCAGGTGACCCCAAGACAAGCCTTCATAGCCCCATCTCTGCTGTCCTGTACCTGGGGTAAGTGCCTAGGAACACAGAGCTAGCTGCATAAATGCCCCACGGGAGGTGGGGGGAGGCACAAGCCCCTGGCCGACCGCCCTCCCAAGGCCCCCACCTCGCCACACACACTGCACAGCAGATATTTATGCCTTGCACGGAGGTTGGCATTAGCAGTGGTTCAAAGTCTCCAATAATTTTCATTTTGTCACCCGGCGTGTCTGGCCCTTTGACCAGAGAGCTTTTAAATTCCTCCTCCCTGGCCCTTTCTTCTCCCTATCTCCCTGGCTCCTCCATCCCCAGCTTGATCCAGACTTGTTGATGAGCCTCAGCTTTTCCCCCCACACATGAGGCATTAAATCTTGTCTGCCTTCCTCCCGACCCACCATCATTTCCCAAGCTCACCTACGCCCATGAATGCTTAATTTAAAACTTCTGCTGCCATGCAGCAGTTTGTAATTCTGAGGCCGCTTTCAACAGAAGAAACAAAATGGGCTGATGAATGTCCCCAGAAAGGTGAGCAGAAAACCATCCAGCATCTCTGTGATGTGGGGGAAGGCTTTCTTAACCATTTAGTTGAATATGACGGATATCTGCAGTGTCAAGTAGTCCTAATAGGATGGATATCTGCCTGATCTGTTGGCCTGCAGGGTGGTTATGAGTTTTAAATTTCCTCATCTCCACAGCAATAAATTCTCTGGGCTTTTCCATTATAAACTTAGTTTTCAGTGCGGCAGCCAGGAAGATTTTGTTTTGGTCAAAGGATTAGAAGCAGATCCAGTTGGGGCTGAGAAGCAGGCAAGTGTGCCAGGTTTGGCTCATCCTTCATCTTCACCTTCCCTGCTGCCTGTACTCCTCCCCCAGGCATGTCCATTGGACCACAGTGTCCCTTGTCCTCATCATCTCAGTGTGGGGATGTTCCCACCACAGGGGCCTAAAGGAGCCCCTCTGTGAGGGTCTGCTGTGGCATTTGTACTGCAGCCTGCTGACCTCATGACGAGGGGATGCCCCAGCCTGACCACCTCCCGATGTGGGCCCGAGAGGAGGAATTGCAGCCCTGGCTCTCCCAGGCAGTCAGGGAGGTGATGATGAGTTCCCAGGGCCGGGCTCATGCTGAGCAACCAGTGGAGAGTAGCTACAACGAGTCCCAGAGGGTAATGAGCCCAGAACACTGCTAACTGGAGTACTCAGCGTGGTATCATTGGGGAAACGAGCTCAGGCAAATCTGTGCAGAGGGGAATCACAGCTTTCTTAATGACTTTCTTCCTTTATACTGACACATACCACCTTTTGGCCCAAGAGTAGAGCGGCCAGGACCAGCAGGAAGACCGATGACTCTCCCCAGGTCCACTTCCTGGCCTTTCTCGGCATGCTTTCATCCCCCACTGCAGCCCCTAATGGCCTCCAACTCCATGGGTCAGAGCTTCAGAAAACTCTTAAGGCACCTAGGAGTGTGATTCTCCTGGACATCAGTGAATCATTCTGCCCACTGGGTAGTGACAAGAGCCAGGCTCCACATTAGGCAGGACTGTGTTCAAATTCTGGCTCCTCTACTTACCATATGACCTTGGATGAGTTCTTCAGCCTCTCTGAGCCTCCATTTCTTTATCAGTAAACTGAGACTAAAAATAACCACTTCACAAAAGGCTATGAGGATCAGCTAAGGCAACATGAATGGCGGAGAACCTAATTCATTGTGTGGTACACAGCAGGTACTCAATAAATGTTAATTCCCTTCCCCCTTCCATATAGTGAGGAGCTACCGGTCTTCCCTTCCGATGTGGAAGTGGGAACTGCAGAACCTTCTTGCCCGGAGTGTTCATTGTCCATCCCATGCCCAGCCTGGCTCTCTAACAGGTTGTGTTCAGGGCAGGAGCTAGAAGGGTATAGCCATAACACGGTGGGTCCCAGAGCAGACCTCTGCCCCAGGGGCTGTGTGCCAGGGACTGTGTTGGACCAGTGATAAAAGAAAGGCCTTGTTTCTCTGAGATGGTCTTCCTTTCATGTTTTTTGGATCAGACATGCTTAAAAGCAAAAACAAATCAATGGATAAGTGCCAGTGATTGGCATGTGGGTTTTCTTTTCATTCAGCTCACTTAATAAGCACATATTGACCTTCCACCCTGTGTCAGGTGCCATGCTAGGAGTTGGGACCACCAAAGTCAAGTACTCTGTGGCAATGTTTTCTGCCATCAAGGAGTTGGCTGGCGGGCTGGAGCTCATCAAGAACCAGACCTCAGGATGATACTCACGGGTTTCCCTTGGAGCACAACTAAGAGGTCGGGAAAGAAGGCTTCCCGGAGGCAGTACTGCTTGGGCCAAGTTTTTAAGGATGAGTAGGCATCAGCCAAACCAAGGGTAGAAGGACATGCTTTCCAGAGACAGATACTAATGCATCGGTTAGGAATTACCTTCAATTGCTGATGTAGTTCAGAAACAGCAATTGCTTAAACAAGATTCAAGTTTACTTCTTTCTGGGGACGCCTGGGTGGCTCAGTTGGTTAAGCATCTGCCTTCGGCTCAGGTCATGATCCTCGGGTCCTGGGGTCGAGCCCTGTGTCAGACCCCCTGCTCAGCAGGGAGCCTGCTTCTCCCTCTCCCTCTGCCTGCCACTCCCCTTGCTTGTGCTCTCTCTCTCTCTGTCAAATAAATATTCTTTAAAAAGTAAAAAATAAAGTTTACTTTTTTCTCATGAAAAAAGTCCAGAGATAGACAGTCCTGATCTGGTACAGTGACTCCCAGTGTCAACAGAGATATAAGTCCCTTCATCCTTCTGCTTAGCTCTTAGCACACATGGATTCCATTCTCAAGGTCCAGGGTGCCCTTGGAGCTCCACGCATTCGCATCCGCCTTCCAGTCAGGATGCCAAAAGAAAAGGAAAAACCCCCTGGTGGCAAATGCTCTCAGAAGTCCCATCAAAAATTTCAGCTAGAGCTCAGTGGTGTGACCAGTGAGAGGGACAGTCTTTTTACCTGGCCACAGCGACACCTGGGCTAAAAGGATACCTGTTAGTAAGCAGGAAAGAATGGAAATTGGGAGTCTGTGTGACATGGTATTTCAGTACCTGTTTAGGGAACACCTAGCTCAGTCGGCCTGAATCCGTGAGTCCCCGTAGTTGGTGTAAGAGGGATAAGAAGTGGTAGGACATGAGACGAGAGAAGCAAATCCACATTTCCCTCTTGGTATGAAAGCTCTGTTGTTCAGCTGAATAGGGCAGTTCCCAGAGCTCAGGCTAGGGCTCAGCACCTCCATTCAGATGCTTCCCTCTCAAAGGAAAGCACCCGGGGTGGTTCTAGAAGTCACACAGGCCTTGGCTTGGCCCACTGAATATTGGCCAAAGGCCTATGATTTTTCCCTGGGAGAACCAGAGTTTGGTCACTGTGTGACCTAGGTGCACTCCCTATATGTTTTCTGTTCTCACCATCAACACTTAACCCAGTAAGAAGAGCCAGCATTATATTGAGTGCTTATCATGTGCCAGACATTCCGAGAGTTTTGTGTATAACAACTCATTTAAACCTCACATTTTCCTTAGGAGGGAGGTATTCAGTTTTATTGCTCCCATGTTAAAGTTTGAAACTGAAGCACAGACTTAAAAATAACTCACCCAGGTTACTAAACAGTGAGGCCAAATTTAAATCCAGATAGTCTGGTTCCAGAGTTCTCCCTGGTAACCATCATGCAGTTCTGCCGGTGGATGAGACGCCCCAGATCAGGAGGAAATGTCGGAATTAAGACAGGCAGATGGAAGGTAGGACCAGGCACAAAGCGCCTGACCTATCTGTTATGCAGGGAATGAGTGAAACTCTTGCTAACAGACCAAGCCTGGTAAAGGCTTTTCTCCTCTTTTGATTCCCTCATCTCCTCCCCTCTGCGTTCTCACTCCAGTCAGCACGATCCATTAACAAGCTATGCTACGCTTTTCTGTTTCTTCTCATTCCTGCCTCCCAACCACTGTCACTGTAACAGGACTTCTGTGCATCTTGTTTAGGTTCCCATCCTTCCTGCCTTCCTAAGAATGTACAGAACCCACCCCCTGAGCCATCCGTCCCAGATCTATATTAAGAAGGGGCTGGGGCGCCTGGGTGGCTCAGTCAGTTGAGTATCTGACTCTTCATTTCGGCTTGGGTCATGGTCTCGAAGTCCTGTGATCAAGCCCTGCAGTGGGCTCCACGCTCAGTGCAGAGTCTGCCTGAGAGTCTTTCCTTCTCCCTCTGCCTCTCCCTGCCGCCCCCCCCCCACTCACCCTTTCTCTGTCTCTCTCTCAGAGAAAGAAAGAAAGGAGGGAGGAAAGGTGGGTCTGTGCTCTGACCTGTCCCATCACCCTGTTTCTCAGGGTCACCCTCTTGAGCTTTTCTTCTGAGCAACTTGCACCTCTTCCAGGCCTCTGCTCTCTCTGTCACCCCCCATCTCCTTCAGTATCTGCACCTCCACTCACCTCGGCCTCCCTTTTTGTCCTGAAATTCTACCTCATGCCTGCTTTGACCCTACCAATCACGCGTTCTTTCCAAAGCATGACCCAAATCATTCCATATGCTAGAGCATGTTTGCTCAGCCCCACTGGTGATGTCCCAGCCGGCCCTTCCCTGAACCCCTGAACTCTCTAGCCTTCAGGGTTGGCACTCTCCCCTGAACCCCTCCAGTACCTGCTATCTGTACTACACTCTGTGGTCATGTGCTTTTACATGGCATTTTGTCACTAGTCGACATGATGTGGCTTTGTCGTGTCTCCTCAACTTAATCTTAAGCTCTTTGAAGAGAGAAGTTTTTTGGGTTTTTTTGTTTTTTCCCATTTGCATCTATTGCAATGCCTAATGCATTGCTTTTCTATTTAGTAGATGCCAAATAGCTATTTCTTGGTTGGTTGATTACAATAAGTTATAGGTCTCTTTATATGTCCTTAATGATTTTTATACATTTCAGTTCCTTCAGCGTTTGTCTTTCCATTTTGAAGAATCCTAATCATTTCTGGATGTTCTCATCTCTTTAATCAGCTCAACTGGGCATCCCTGGTCCTTCTCCAGCCCTGCTGTATCTTTCCAGAGATGCAAGGCCAAATCACAATGATCTCCCCTTTCAGGGTACATTGTACTCTATTATTAACCTGCATTTTCTGCTGCTTGCCTGGCCTTGGAAGCCGCTTTTGTTAAGAAAACTCTGGACAACAACCAGGAATATAGCCATGTAGAAGGTATTGCCCAGAAACAAGAGAGCCCTGCCAAGCACAGTCTCTCCCAGGTGCCCAGGAGCCCCCTCCAATAAGCACCTTCCATTCCAGCACTGCCTAGAATCCACAATGTGGGGACTAGGGGTGGGTTCAAAAGAAACTGGCAACAGCCTCATTTGGAAGGCGTAATGTAAAAGCTAATGGTTTAACAAGAGCAGTCTAGTTGATTCAGGACATAACATGAGCACTAAAGATGGAGTTGTCAGGAAGAGTGAATCTAGGAAGGCTTCCCGGAAGCCAGAAGTGGTGTAGGGAAGTTGGCTTCACACACTTCTCTCAGCACTCCTGGGCAGAAACTTCCTGAAGTGGGGGGGAGGGGGGTGCCTTAGCATTCCCTTACTGGTAAATGACCAGACATCTCCCTGAGCGTGCTCTGCACCTCTGCGCCTCCCTTGGCAGCACAGGGGCTGCTGGGCATCTGCCTTTTACAGCTGAGACGCAGGGTCCGACAGCTCACTCAGCAGGCAGATCAGCTGGACGGGGGCGGGGGGAGGGGAGGTAGAGGAAATGAGGTTGGCGAGAAGGGGAGTATAGTATACCTAGAAAAGGTGCGTGATGCTGAGACTCTCTCCTCACAGCACTTCTTGTTCTTTCTGTCCTCCCTACAGCATCCCTGTGAGCACCTGCCTAAGATAGAGGATGGTGCTGGCCTCCCCACTCCCTTTTTTTTTTTTTTTTTGCTGCTTCTGACCTGCCCACTGTCCATTTTCCTGCCCGCTGGCTTCAGGCCAAAGCTCAGGAGCAGTGAGCAATTGAGAGCATCTTCGACTAGCATTAACAGAAATCAGGGGCGCCTGGGTGGCTCAGTCGGTTGAGCGTCCGACTCTTGATTTTGGCTCAGGGCCTGATTTCTGGGTCCGTGCTCAGCAGGAAGCCTGCTCGAGATTTTCTTTTTTTTTTTTTTTTTTTTTTTTTTAAAGATTTTATTTATTTATTTGAGAGAGAGAGAATGAGAGACAGAGAGCATGAGAGGGAGGAAGGTCAGAGGGAGAAGCAGACTCCCTGCTGAGCAGGGAGCCCGATGCGGGACTCGATCCCGGGACTCCAGGATCATGACCTGAGCCGAAGGCAGTCGCTTAACCAACTGAGCCACCCAGGCTCCCCTGCTCGAGATTTTCTGATTCTGTCTCTCCCTCTGCCCCTCCCCACCACACTCACATGTGCGCTCACTCTCTCTCTCCCTCTCTCAAATAAGTAAATCTTTTTTAAAAAATCAAATTGCTTAAATGATGCTTACACTGAGCATCAGGGCGGGGTAGGAGTCTCACACGGGCAGAAAGTTTCTATGGGAGAAGTCGCACTGACACTGGCTGCAGCCGAGCTGTCTTCTCTTCAAGGAGCCTTGAACCAGCAGCGAGGCTTGGGCAAGGGTCAGGCTCACTAGGCTTCCTCCAAAATCAGAGGAGTTGTCCTTAAAAGCTTAATTGTGACTTCCAGAAATCTTAGCCCAAGATGCTGAGCATCTTCATCTCCTGTCTCCATTTCAGAACACACCTACGTTGGGGGTAGCACTCCTTACGTAGAGCAGAGAGCAGGTGTCAGCAGAATTCTGCTTCGTACAACCAAACTGGGAGGCGAAACAAGGCAAATGAGGCCACCCTGGCCCCGTTCAGGGGAACACAGGATAGCTACTCCCTGCCTGAGAACAGGGCAAAACCAGCCTGAGCAAAGAGTAGGGTTGAGGGACCACCCGCTAGCTCCTGGGGCCTCATTAAGCTGAATTTTATTTGGGACATTCGGTTGAAATGGGAGAGAGAGGAGTAATTGTGATTAATGGCACCTTGGCTCCTGTCAAGAGGATGGACAGAGAGTTGTGTCAAAAACTGAGTTGCTGGGCGCCTGGGTGGCTCAGTTGGTTAGGTGACTGCCTTCGACTCAGGTCATGATCCTGGAGTCCCGGGATCGAGTCCCGCATCAGGCTCCCTGCTCGGTGGGGAGTCTGCTTCTCCCTCTGACCCTTTCATGCTCTATCTCATTCTCTCTCTCAAATAAATAAAATCTTTAAAAAAAAACTGAGTTGCTGACCCATCCTATCTATTGGCCTTTCCTACCACTGATATTTTTTCCTCTCTTACCTTTGCTCTCACTCCAGTGGCTTTGAGTACTTTCCAGAGGTAACTACAAGACCCAGAATAGCATGAGGAGCCCGTGCCCTGGGGAGTAGGTAAAGACAGGGAAGAAGAGGGAATCTGGTCCCAGCATGGAGAAGCAATGGAGGCAGAATGTTCGCCCTGGCCCATGCCCATTGCTCCTAATCTTGCCCTGGACAGAGATGGCTGGGGCCAGCTGCAGACATGGAAAGGATTTGGGGGGGCTTATGGGGTGTGAGAGCTCCACTCTGGCGGGATGAGCAGTGCCACATTTTAATTGTCATTAGCAATAAAAAATGAGCAGTGAGGAAACCCAGCCTCAGCCCGCAGAAGA